GGAAATATACACAAAATATTATGGTAGCTCAACGGAGAAAAAAATGTGACAATGAGTGTGTATATGTCCATGAATGACTGAAAAATTGTGCTGAACACTGGAATTTGACACAACATTGTAAAATGATTATAAATCAATAAAAAATGTTAAAAAAAAAGGTGTTCCCTGGTAACTACACCCACTGGCTCCAGCCGAGACTCCAGGAGCAACACGGCTAGCTATTTATTGGCTCTGCTGTGTAGCCAGAGTGATTTGTATTCATAGAGTGATATGTTTTCACAGAGTGTACCTCAGTCTGCTCCTCTATAAAGCGAGGGTGATAATGGTACCCATCTTGCCTGCCTCACCCACCTCATAGGGCTGTTGCGAGGACCAGATAAATTAATCTACGTGTACTTAGAATAGTGTCTGGCACATAGTCAGCATAGGCGGGGCTTATTAAGTTATCTTCCCTGTGCTCTTCCCACCATTGTGTTGCTGCTGCTGGCATTATCTAATATAATATTATTATGGTATTCTAATTTATTATTGTTAATATGATGTTATTATCACTTGACAGTGGTGAGTACAGTGGACAGATCTCTCTTACTATTCATGGGGAGTAAACGTGTAAGAATATCTGCCTTACCTGTAAGGTCCTAGAGAGTGAGGAGCATCGTGTGGACGTGCCTCGGGGGAGGACTCCCACAGGACCCCCACGGCTGGGGATAAGCATTGTTTGCTCCACTCATCCCCTCACCCACTGACCTCCTAGTGTTGTTAGAAAGTTGAGAAGTTAGGAGGATGAGGAAAGAAGCGGAGACTGGCTTTGCTCCAGAGCTGCGGATGATCCTTATTTAGAAAGTCTGCCTTTAGAACTGAAAGTGAGACCGTTTCTATCTTCCCGGAAATGGAAGGAGAAACTATCATTTCTTAAAGACTTATTTTGAGTCAGGCTCCATGGCAAAGAAAAACTTCCATATCACTGATTTTCATTGAAGCCTCCCAGCAACCTTGTGAAGTAGGTGAGGACACTGGGCCTCCAAGGCTTTAAGAAGCTTGCTCAAGATCAAGCATGGGATCCAGACCCAGGTCATCTGATTCCAAAGCCCACCTCTCAGGAGAAGTCTGTGATGACCAAAAAAAAAAAAAAAAGACCAGAATCTCGCTATGCATGGCATGCTTGGCATGGTCACTTCCTGTTTACTTGAGGCTGATGCAAGATAAATATTTACGCCAAGTTTAAAGGAGAAAGAAAATCTGCTTGTAGGAGCACTTTCTAAACCAACAGAAGAGATGCAAGGTATTGAAACGGGCCCCAGGTTGACCCAAAACTAGAACTCAAGGTTGTGCAGAGCAAGCCTCAGCAGAATCTTGCAGTCTTATTTACCTTGACTGAGAAATGTTTGGAGGAATTTGCTCCACGTGGGGAACCGTTTCTTGTTGACTGGCTGTGCGTGCTGTGCTAAAATGCCCGCCAGCTCCTCGGAGATCTTCACCAAAGCTGGCTCCTGCAGAAACAAATTAAATAGAACCACAAGCAATTTTACTACAGAAATGAAAACTGCTTGTGGAGTGATTAAAAACCAGGCCTCCAACAGGCAAAAAAAATGTGGTTACTGTTTACCCAGAGTCAGAAAGCCATTTTGAAGATTTTCTCTATTTTCCCAGCCATTTCAGGTTTCATATTTTGAAGTGCTTTTGTCCCTAAATATTGCTGCTAATTGTGTCTATACTCTTTTCTGTCTGGGCCCCATTTCAGGCCCACAGCAGCCTGACGAACAGAGTGTCCTCGGGCACTGGGCCTCCCCACCCTGGGCCTCAGTTTCCCACTGGGTAAAATGTGGGGTTAGCCACCTTTTCCGTAAGATCCTTCAGATCAGATTGTTTTTATCTTATGACCCTAACAGAGCTGACTCTGGGACAAATGATGGAGTTGGCAGCGTCTTTCTTGGGCACCTTCATCTCTGTAAGCCCCCGGGTCGGGGGGGGGCCTCCATGTAACTGTGGGATCCAAGCCTTGAACCAGGACTGACACCAAAGCGGTGGGATTTAGGAGGGGGCAGGTTGGAAGAGCGAGGTGGGGAGGGAGGCTGGCCTCAGTCGCCCGATGTTCCCCACTAGGTCACAGCCCCAGCTGAGTAGGTGTGAGGCTGGCCCCACTTTGTCGTACAACAGCCCCAAACTCCAGAGCCTCCTGTCAAAATGAAAACAGTAAGAAACCCTCTAATGATTAAGAAACCCAGCTTTTTGACATGAAAAGACTTGGTGTGTCAGGACAATTTGTTTTTGGGTTTTTTTTTGGAGAGTCTATGTAACAATTTTTAGATAGAATCCACCTCTTCAGATTTTATTTCTGCCAGAAGGAGGGCGGGGCACTGGATACGAAACATTTTGATAGGCAGGATTCATATTCAAACTATGGGAGGTTGACAAGAAAAACCCAGGCTTGCTTTGGGTTGCTGGGGAACTTTTGAATCTGTGAGTGAACATCAGTAATTTGGAAGGATCAGAGAAGAGTCGGCTTCGTCAAGTAGGGCTGGGAGGGGTCTTAGGCATAATCGGTATAGCCATTTATTTTCAATTTCCCTGCCATTAAAAAGAGATTGTCCTCCTCCGTCCCCCACGCTCCTTGGAACATCTGGTTCATTCTGGGTCCAGTGCCCTCTGAAAATCTACAGTGGACGACAAGTATCTGAGAGTGCACTCTAGGCAGGTCCCAACAATCTGAATAATTTCTGAAAAGTCCAGGAAATCCTGGTGGGAGAGACTCATCAGTTAGCTTCGTAAGTGGTTGTCATACAAAACTAAAATGCCAAGAGGCAGGGAGAGGGCGGCTGCCCGCCCTCGGTCAGCATGGCTCTGCACAGTCGGGGAGTACTGCTGAGAAGGCTAGGGAAGCCAGCTCCCGCAGCGAGCCCCTGCCTTGGGAGGTGGAGGTGGGGAAGTTGCTGTCAAAGCTGAGGGCCTTTCCCACTTCGAGTCCTGCTCAATTTACATTTTCTCTGCCATTTGCCGTCCATTACCTCATCTCCCCAAGGCCCAGCATCTAAATCATAAACAAGCGTACAAAATGCACGGTTCCAACAACCTGGACTCCCTCTTGTTTCCTTCCTCCAAACCCACCTTTCTTTTTGTTTTGTACTTGTTTCAGTTAAAACCATTCTACCCTACGGAAGACGACGAAGTGCCCGTGATCCATGCAGTGCCCCAAAGCTGGGAAAGTGAGGAATGTCTGTGGGTTCCCCACCTGCTTGGAAAACTGAGTGTCAAGGAAGGAACCCCTGCAGGGCAGGCCCCCAGGGCAGTGGAGACCTCCTTTTTGTTCTGCCCTGATTAAAGGGCCCTTTCTGCCCTGTTTCTGAACCATCTATCCCATGATCTGCTATCTGTTGTCACATCAAGATAGTCCAAGAGAAATAGTTCATTTGTTCATTCATACCAAAACCCACAGCTACTTAGAGTAGTCAAAAATCACAGAGACAGACAGCAGGATGGTGGCTGTCAGAGGCAGGGGTAGGTGGGTGTTAGTGTTTCATGGGTAGAGAGTTTAAGTTTTATGAGAGTTAATGGAGATGGATGGTGGTGGTAGTTGCCCAACATTATGAATGTACTTAATACCTCTGAACTGTAGATTTAAAAATGGTTAAGATGGTAAATTTTGTATTAAATAAACAATTGAGAAAAAATTACAGAATGTCAGGCCTAACTGAACTAAGGAAAAAAGAATTATATGTTTGGGGGGGTGCTGGAAACGGAGGACGGCAGTGAAGGAGCAGGTGAAACCTTTGTCACCTAAATCATGAAACGAGATCTCCATCAGTTTCAGGATTAAGCTGAAACTCCTCAGTATGACACACGCAAATGCGCTCTGTGACCTGGCTGCTAATTCCTAATGTTGCCCACTTCTTCCCTCTCTAGCTTCTAGCCTCACCCCAGACTGCTCTGGCTCAGTCTCTTTCCTCCACTTCCCTTCCTCATCTTCCTCCCCGGCTGATGCCTCCTCACCCTCTCTGAGTTAGTTCAGTCACACCTCCTCCAGGAAGCCTCCTGTGCCACCTCAGTTGGGGGCCTTTCTCCACACTCTCCAGCTCCCTGGGGGCTCTTTAATGGCATGGTCAGTGGCTTTGGAGTCAGTCTCCCCGGTGCTCGGCACAGGGAACACTCAATGTTTGTGGAATGAATCTTGGCGGTGATAAAGACAGGGACCCAGCCCTGAACAGCAGAAGTTACAGAATAAGGGAAAATGTGAAACAGGCTCCCTCCATGCTGCCCAGGCGCCACCTGGGGGATAACCCCCTAAGAACCACCAGTTCTTCTGGGGTGGACATCGTGAGATTCCTGGCTTCTGAGAGGCAATGGGAAGATAAATAAGGTGACATTTACGAAGTGTCACCTGAGACGCAACATGCTATGTGAGGGCCAATAATTAACTTGTAAGGCTGTGGCTTGTGAGAGGCATCTGTCGGGCCGCCCTTCCCGCCTCTGCCTGCAAAGACAGCCATTCTGCCTCGATCTGCAGCCTTTGCACTGTGTACAAAGCCACAGCAAGGGGGCAAGTTTCCTAGAGGAGAGTCTGCTGTGGAAATTGTGTCCCATCATGAGAAATACACAGCCGAAGGCACTGGCAGGGTGACATTCAATAGGGGATGCTGGAGCACACACAGGCAGCTTGGGGCCATGCCGAACTCTGTAAGAAAAAGATATGCAGAGGGCTAATGGAGGGGGAGTAGTATTAACTGTTCAATTTAGTTCTTTATTTTGAAAGCATCTGATAGGAAACAGAAGGATTATGCTTAGAATGTCCTTGGTACCAATGAAGAGATGTCAGATGCAAGTTCTCGGTTTGCGGGGTTTCTGTTCTCTAGTGTTTGTCATTTTGCATAGTTCAAACGTAATTACAACTTGAAGGGCTGATGCTGATAAGGGAAGATCTGTAGCTACTTGGGTTTATTCTGGTCGGAATAAACTTAGGTACACGCTGATGCACCCAGACACAGACGTACAAAATCACGCCAGGCAAGCGCCTAAACCCACGTGAGTCATCAGAACAGTATTTGTGAAATACTTTCTCTTGTCACATTCATCATCTCGCCCGGTCCTGACACCGGCACCCTGAGGTGGGCCGGCACGGGGTTATTTCCCCTGCTTTACGAAGAGGAAGCAGAGGCCCCTAGAGTGAAGAGGGTTGTGTAAGGTTGCTTGCCAAGCTGTCAGATTCTGTTATTGGGTGATTTTCAACACATGACTGAAGACAGAAAACAGTGGAGTTGGGCGAACCAGTCCTAGTTTGCTTTCTTCCCTGCCTCTATTACTTTTGCAAACTCTGTGTGTGTTGTGAGTGTGTGTGTGAGAGTGTGTGTGTGAGTGTGTGTGTGAGAATGTCTCTTATAAGCCAGCAACTGGGGCACAGGTTCTCTGCCTTACATACCTGTGAAACGAGCAGTTAGAAAGTTTCTTTTCACTGAGTCACATCAAGGCAATGGACTACCCCTAACTGTTTCAGAGTTTATCACCCACAGGGAGCAGATCGTTTAGAGCTGACATCTCAGGGGTATGGAAGGGAACGTCTAGAACTTATGGGTGATAAATAAATGTCAGAAAAATACCCTTTACTTTTTGAAAAATAAATCAATTCCAGATCTTCATTCCATCATGATTGCGCTGGCCCTGGCAATGCACATTAGCTGCTGGCTTTTGTGGAGCTAACAGCTCTAGAGCAGTTCCCATCCAGGAGACACTTGGCCCACATCGGTGCCAGCGCACGGCCAAGCCACCCTTTGTCCAACATCCGTATCCACCCCTCAGTGCACTGATAGTCATGACCTTGGAGGGTTCCAAGCTATCTGTAGAAGGCATAGGCCTGGCCAGACGCACCTACAGATTCTTGTCTATCAAGCATGGACCTTGCCTCTCAGCTCTCTCTCTTTTTTCTATCAAGAAACTGTAAATTTGAAGGAAGAGATATTCGACTGAAGAAATTCAGGATATCTCAGGGGAAACTGCTGGCATATCCAATTTAATATTGCCCTCAATGACTAAAACTACTTCAAACTCCAGAGACTTGAGTTTCCCAAGTAAATTCTAAGAGAGAGAGAGAGTGTGTGTGTGTGTGTGTGTGTGTGTGTGTGTGTGTGTGTGTGTGTGTGTGTATTGGGGAGGATGAGCAAGGAGGAAGAGGAAATACAAATGAGAATGCTCTAAATATCAGTCCCACCAATGCTCCTTTTACTTCAGAAACTTCTTTCCTGGATCTGCAGTGGTGAATTAACTAAAATTATCTTCTCAGCTAATCACCCCCAATCTCTCACATCAGACACTGTCTGGTGGTGTTCAAATGAGAACCCACCTAGGTGGTTCTGTTTTATACAGCCTTCTGAGATCCCTAAATGGAAGAATAGAGGGTAACATAAGATCAAAAGGACAAGACAGTGACTTGAATAACTAAGCGAGATGGTCAGAGTTGAAAGAAGCCACGTGGCCCACCTAAGACAAAGGCCTCATGTAACAG